TATATATATATATATATATATATATATATATATATATATATTCACAATAAGGAGACAATACTTGTATGTTCAGAACCAAAAGGAAATGAGATAGCCAAAATGAACCAGCTCTTTACAGCCATTTTCTATTAATCAATCCAATATTCTTGCATGTGTTTGATTAACAGACGTTCATTCTGACCACAGGATTGTGAACATCTTCATCCATAAATGGATTGAGAATGTTAATATTTCCATCTGATAGATGCCATCAACACATTCTGTCCATTGTTCAACGAGGAGCCGCCATCTGGTCACACTTCTTTTACAGTCTCTAAGATTTTATATTCATGTTTTGTGTTGTCAATAACTGACACTTTTGAGATTACAGAGGCTCACTTGTGGATATTTTAGGGTCACACATGGAGCTCTGTGCTTTCTAATTGAAGTCGATGGAAAAGGACCAGAAATCAGCCAGGTGTCAGAAAGAGCTCCTGGTTCATCCTGGGAAGTATTTTCAGACTTGAAGGAGCCATATTCATCTGGTCAAATTATTAAAGCCAATAGAGACAAAATGCAAATGTCCCATTGTCCCGCTTTCAGAAGGCAATGGTTACAGAGATGAACGGGTTCTGGTCCGAAATGTGCAGAATGACCCTAGAACAAACTAAAAACATTATGAAGACGGTGATTATCCACAGGCCGCTCAGTTAGCCTGAAGCAGCATCTCAGTGCTAGCATGTAGCAGCACAGACGTCCAACGTTAACATCAGCGTCCACAGTCTGAACTTCTAAAGAATGAAAAAACTGAACCTAATCAACAGATTAAAACCAATTTACATCATGTCGACCCAATAATTTAGCAAAAGAGTTTTTTGAATGAGAAGGTTCAATATAAATGTTGGTATATGGTTTTCAATTAAAATGAGATTAATTGCGATTAATTACAGATGCTGCAATTAACTCAATTAAATTATATATATAGAGAGAGATCTCCAGAAACCTGGACAGTATGAATCCTTACCTGCTCATTGTTAGTTCACAGGTGTTTTACACCCTGATCCTCTTTAACATTTTAACCTGCCCACATGACTCGACTCTCACTCACGCTAGGCTGCCACCTATTGTCACCAAACATTCAATAAAGGGGATTAAGCCCCCTTTCATCTCCTTCTTCTGGGTTTTCTGTTGATTCTACGGTTCATCACATCCAGCTGGGGAGTCTTCACTTTGCCCAGAATTCACACTAAAGGATCCAACTGCTGAGTTACTTTGAAGATCAGCAGCTATTATTCCTCAAGTGCCCACATTGTTCTGCGCCTGAATTAGTGCACCTGAATCCACTAATCGATGGTTGTTGGTACATGAACGACACGTGACATCCGAGTGCTTACAGAGAAAAGCTGCTGCTCTGATGTGGAGCAAACTGGGATTATCTCAAGTTGTGAATTCATTGTGAGCTATTTTTAAAGTCATGCTTTTGTACTTTCATATAAGTTGTTCAATAATGAAAAATGTTTCAAAATTCCCATTAACTCACAAAATGAACAAAAGTGACCTTTGATGTTTCTGGTCAGCTGATTCTCTTTAAAATGCTGTGAAGACGACTTATAACTTTTATGATGTTTATAATTATGATATATTTCATAATGTCACAGTCGTTATTGAACAGTTACTGTGTCTGAATATTGTCAGGTTCATATTCTACACATTAATTTACTTGTATCTTTAATTCTCTATTACTTCTCAAATGCTCCTCACCATTAACACTGACAGTTAAAACAGACTCAGCGTTTTTCACCAGAGCCACATGTTGTACATCGTCCACCATGATGTGAAGGTTGGGAGGCAACTAAAGGGAAGAAACGCCTCAGAGCAGCAGGACGCAGCTGAAGCAAACACAGATTTTCACTTTGCCTGATAGTCGCTCTGGCCGCTGTGCCTCTGTGGACCGGGGCATTTGGGCTCTGTGGGGCATTTGGGCTCTGTGGGGCATCAGACAGACTGAACACTGCCGGAAGGCTGACATGAGCTCTTTGGATAATAAAATATTTATTAATATCTGAAACGTTAATAACTTTAATCAACAGAACAGAAGATCTCAATAAAACTTGTTCAAATTAATTCCCCCCGATGTTTTTGGGATTATCAATCAGCAAATTATGAAAATGGCCCACTGGTAAGGGCTTGGGCAAAGAAGCCTGATGTCTGCGCAACTACAAAAAATGTTTTATGTATTTAATGTTCTAGTTGAACATGAAATAAAACTGAATCTTTCACAACTGCATTTCATAGATCTGATTTCCCTTATCTCAGAGTTTACATTAAATTAATCATTTGCACAAATATCAGGCTTTCAAGTGTTACATTAAAATGCAACACTTTCTTTTATTGCTTGCGGAGTGATGTGAATATCTCAATAAGTTAATCAAATAATTCAATACACTGACTAAGTGTAACAGGTCTCCTTTTTTCTCTCTTTTCTAGAAAACAAATTACACATATCAAAAAGCAAAGAGTCCAACCCAGGAGACATGAGAAGACAGGAAGGCACCAAGGAAAGACGGGAGTGAAGACGAGGATCTGGCAAGTTGTGGGAGAAAACGAGAGGCTTAAATACTGGAGAGGTTGAGAGCTGGATAAAGACCTGAGTTGATGAAACTAACTGATTTCAGGTGAGAGTAGTTGGAGCAGGAGGACGGGGAACGGAGCTGGAAATACTTTTAGCGCTAAAGAAACTCTAAGACTAAAGAAAACATGATAAACAAGAAAGAGACAAAGACATGAGGGGAAACTAACAGAAACAGGCCTGACCTCAGAACTCAGGAAACTAGAATAACCAAACGGACTACACAAAGAAATAAACCTAACTAGAAACACTACAATAGATGTAGACTAAGACCTAAAAGAATAACTAAACATAGAGTAACTAGAAAACACTGCAAGGGGGCTGAAATAAAGAAACACAATAGTGAGAAAGATCTGACAAAAATGAGTAACAACAAATAAAAAGAGTAAAACAAAAGGTGAACTAAAACATAACAGATAAATAAAAAGAGAAACAGTAGAAACACAAAACCAAAGCCAGGGTCCACAGTGAACAGGAATGTTAAAGTAACTCGTGATTTACTTTAACGTTCCCATCTTCAGGTCTCCTTCAGTGGAACAAATCTGAGACATGAACTCAACCAGCTTCCCCCTGCAGGCCGTGGCTGGACACCAGCAAATATGTTCAGTGGGGTTCATGTGAAGCCTTATCAACATGCGGCTCCTGCTTGGAGATATCTGTAGAGCATCCTGGTTGTGGTTTGTGTGGTTTCAGGTCTGACTGGTCATTACTTTGTGTCTGTCGGGATTTTATCCCTTGTTGTCTGGAAGAGCAATCACAGCTTCTTTCCTCTGGCTGCATGTGCAGCGACACACTTCCTCCTTTAAAAGGGATTTACTAAACATGCTTTCATGTTTCAAGGTCAGGCTGAAAGAACTTCCACATAACCACACATTTACTGCACCTCATTAACCTTTGAACCCTGACTTCAACTTTTAAGCAGTGATAGTTCACAAGCAAAAGGTTGGCATTACTAAACAGCAGATCCAGAAGCACTATTCACCTTCCTTGATACTGATTGGCTGTTCTCTCAAGAGCGATGATAAGGCAGACTGGATGTTTGCTTCCATGGGAGTGTTGAGATGCTTTTCACTGTGTGTGTTAATGCATGTGAAAATAAATGTGGTGCTTTAACATTTAAAATGGGCAGTTAGAAGAATTTCAGAAGGAATCTCAATGCTTTATCTCTAGCCCTGCAAATGTCGTTATTATTTAAACTGGAAAAGATTCAAAGAAATCATTCCTTGCTCAGCATAACTGCTGTTTCCCAGCAAGTTTCTGTTCTGCAAAAAACACACAGATATAAAACATCACATCATGGTCATGTATTGAGGTGCAAAACCAGTCAGTGATTCTAAACTACCAGCAGGAGATTAAAGTTTCTTCTTTCAGTGAAGGACTGGAGAACTGGGTGGTGTAGAACCGGGGGGTGGAGAACCGGGGGGTGGAGAATTTTCACTGAACTGTTTCTGTGTTGATATTTTGCTCAGCAATGAAGGAATTTATCGAGAAGGGTTTTACCTGAGAAGGATCTGGTGTTTAGCTAAGAGAGCTGGATAAAGTTTCAACTGGATGCTCCTTCAGATGGGATAAATCTGGGGCAGAGCATCACGCCTCCTGACCAGCAGGGGGCGACAGTGGACAGGATAAACGCCCCTTTAACAGGAGGAACCCTCCACCAGAACCAGAACTGGGCTCAGTACCAGAACCAGAATTGAGCCAGGAGAAGTTTCTATGTTCACAGAAATATATTTATTTTCCCTTTGGGATTAATAAAATATTTTTGATTTTGAAATAAACGGTGAGGTGATGGCAGCATCATGCCAGCTGATGCCCCACCTCCAGGAAGGAATCAGCCAATCAGAATGCAGAGCAGGAGTAGCTTCTGGAGAGGAAATAACTGAGAAAAATCCAAATGTTAACAGTTAAAAGCAAATAATACAGACTGGAGAGTAGTAGGAGAAGGTCAGGAGTGGTCAGTTTGTCCTCCAGCATCAGAATATGACAAAATGACCAATGTTAAAACAAAGACAGAGTTTTTAAAGGCGTGTCAGTCAGTTAAAAACAAACAAACAAAAAAACAAAAAAACCAGCATGAATAACCAAAAAGGCATTTTGTGTGATTATAATAAAAGAGAAATACAACCTGGTTACAGTGGCAGCATATTGAACTCTCTACTGCCCCCTACTGCCCACTGACCTGGCCGAGCAGCTCTGTTTTAACAATCAGCTTTAGGAGAAAGGAACATTTCAGTCCTGGTCTAGAAAGTATTCAGACTAACACTGGGAGTTGCTTCCATAGGAGAGGAGCCTGAAAACTAAAACAACAACCTCTGTCTGGTCAGAATTTAGAAAGTTTAGAGTCATCCAGGTTTCAATGTCCTCTAGACACGCCTGCAGTCTACCCATCAGACTGCTTCTTCAGAGTTTATGGGTCGATGCAGCTAAGTATCATCAGCATAACCTGATAGTTAGGGTAAATGTTCTGTGCTGGTGTAGTGCTTTATCAAGTCCAGAGGACTCTAAAGCTTTTCACACTACATTAAGCCTCTGATGGTGGTGAGCTACTGGATGGTAGCTACAGCTGCCCACGGGCAGTCTAACAGAGGCCAGGCTGCCACGCAGCGGTGCCCCCTGCTGGGCCCTCTGGCCCCTGAACTGTTTCGCCCAAGAGTGTAAGAGATGGATGGAGTGGGAACTGAACCAGCCTCGACAGACAATGTGAACTTAAATCTGAGGAACAGGAGAAAAAATGAGAAGTTTGTCTGGTGTGACTGAATGTGTGAGGTGTTCTCAGCTTGTTCTCTCTGCTCCTGTCTCAGCGCTAAAGCTACGCAAACAGCAATTACCAAATTACACTCTCCAAACCAAACACTGTGATTCAAACAGAGGAATCAGCTGGAACTGCTCACGCTAAGCTGGTGGGACTCTAGTGACAATGTGACGGGCAACACTGAAAACCTTTGGGACAGACGAAGATGTTAATGGAGGCTTGTACTGAAAAACAAGTCATGTCACAGAAGGCTTAAGGCTTTAAAATGGTCATGGGAGAAGAAAACCTCACTTTCCAAAATGCAACTTGGATAAATCAGCTAAAAACAATAAACAGAACTCCACCATCTTTTTGTCATTCTGCAACAAAAAATGTTCTTCATCATCTAGTTATGACAGGACTGCAGTTAATCTGAAGCTCTTGTTAAGGTTTGACACATTGCTAAATCCAGTTCTGGCCTGTGCTGGGACCAGTGGTGGAGAAAGTACTCAAAAAATGTACTTAAGTACAGTAACGATGTACTTGTACTTCGTTACTTCCCACCACTGGCTGGGACCAATGTATAAATATCTTAAAATGTGTTTTTGTTGCCTCAGCTTCTGCTTTTTCTTTAGGGCTTTAATCTGAATATGCATCAGAAGAAATGGAAGCAGCAGAACCATCTGGACTCAGAACATTTCAGCTGTTTAAAGGTTCAACTAAAAATTGCCTTTCTGTCATACCTTTATTAATTACTGTAGTTATAACTTAAAAAAAACAAAAGCTTTCCCTGGATTTGATGAATGCTATCTTCTTGAAGGGTAAAAGTTGAGAATAGATGCACTAAAAAGAGATGCACCCTGATTAAGTTCAATATTATCCTGTTACTATCAGGCCAAAAACCTTAATTAAAGCTGGAGTTAGAAAAAAGCACCAAACAGTTACAACAGTGCAATGTGTCAAATGAGTACAGGGTCATCATTTGAGTTTAGGAGCTAGTCAGAGTCCCAGGAAGTAGCTTAACTAAAAGGACTTTTCTCTGAAAGTGACACTGAAGTCCTTCAGCCCGATGAAGTGCGAATGGGTTCTGGGCTGTTGATGAAGATCACAAGGAAGGAAAACAGTAAGACAGGGTGGGCCAACGAGACTTTCTCTACAGGTCAATGGAAAGACTTTGTCTCTGATATTTGACATGACACAATTTTATGTGACGGCAGCAATTTACTGCACATGTTGAAACATGATGTGAAACAAAATGCTGGGAAACTGTAACCCTTGCTGTAATAATTCTCATATATATGCACATGTAGGTACACACACAGTCGGTCGTTCAGAAAAATCCGGTCAGACGGCATTTACTGACAATTTAACAAACTGCATTGGTACTTTCTGTTATTCATAAAGTCAACATCTAAATGAGTCATTTTCCATTTTTGCTTTCAGACAATGAAGAAAAACTCAATAATTACTTTAAATTATTCAGTGCAGCTTAATCTGATTTGAGTATTGATTAGGGGTCAAGCTGATAATGGAGAATCTTTAATGAGTTGTCATCATCAGCAAGAGACACTTGTGGATTACATAAATCCAAAAATCATCATCGTTCAGACTTTGTCCCAGCTTGCTTAACTTTAATTACTTTAAGTGTTTCTGAGTCGTTCATTGTTGAGGAAGTTTTCTGCTGTAACTTTACCCATGAGCAGGACTGGGATCTTTTTCTGAAAAATGATAATAAAGATTTGTTTCTGAGTTCAACGTCAGGTGAAGTTTTCCTTTCACTGTGCAGGAGCTGCGTCTTCAGGTCAATTCTCCACATTTTGAACCATTGAGCAGAACAAAGGTCATGACTCAGGGACTCGGACCGACTTCTCCACCCCCACCTTCAATGCCGTTCAGCTACGGTCTCCGTCCTGCTCACTGTTTGGCACCGAGTGTTTGCAGAAAACCCCCAGCTCCAGGGTGGAAAAGCAACAAGCTGCTGCCAGCAGAGGTTACGCCCTTTGCAAGTCCCTGCTTGGTCCTGACTGGCTTCCACAAACCTCAATGTGTTTGTCTTTAAAGGCCGGTCATTTCTAGACATTAGCCAGAACAGATCTCAACTTGTGGACAGACGTGTTGATTACACTTTTTATCTCAGGAGCATGATCAAAGTCATAACCCATTAGCAGTCATGTGTTAATGGGTTAACTAACAGTACCCTCTCTAGACTCTCCAGCCTCTCGGCCTTGCATCGAGCAGCTCCTCTTTGCTTCTAACTTTTAAAGGTTCTGCCTCGGCCCTTTCTGAGTCGGAACCATCACATCATTGATGATGTTCATTCCTCTGGGTCAAAGCATGAGGGACATTTGAAATCTGTTATAGTCCAGAACAAAATCTTTCTCTCTCTGATCTTCTTTTAGACCTGCGATCATATAGCTCTTTTTAGCTTGTTATTCTTTTAACATTTTATTTCCCTTAAACTGTTTTATGATATAGAATACACCTTCATGCTTCTTTTGGTTTGTCCTGTGGATTTAACATGGACACGTCTTGTTTACCTTGCATTTATTTAATAACACCTGAAAAATAAAATCAATAACAAAAACATTAAAAAGAGTTTAGTGGTTGGATGGATTTCAATTGAACGGCCTTCCTGTTTGCTGTCCTCTTTGCTCAAACATTGGATGTGAATCAAGGAAGTAGAAGAAACCACACGGCGCTTTTGGAGGCGCCCTGCCCGTATCTCGGTGCCTAATCCGATGAGATCACACTCAGAACGCTCCTGTTGCAAGTTCTGCATGACTTGCGCTGCCCCCAGAGATGAAGAATGGACGGGCCGCTGTCTTCAGGGAGAGGCGGGGCGGCTGAGGGATATACTGAGGCCTCAGTGTGCGTTTGTGGAGGTGGGGGTAGATCTCATCATTCGTCTCTTTTCCCGCCTCAGACACTAACCTCTTTGTAAGGTTTGTATTAAAAACTCTGGCCCCGTGAAAACAGACCCCCCCACTTCCTTCCACTAATCCAGGCTGCTGACCGTTAGTGGGCTATCTGACAGTACAGCACATTAAACTTACACTGTCTGTGTGTCTCAACATCCTCACCTCTAGGGCCGTTTTACAAAAAATACTACACTGTGAGGACCCACAGCTCCTTATAGGGCCCAAAGCTGAGGCCCCAAAAGGAGAAGTGCTGCTTCAGGATCGTTAATGAAATGAAAGGAAGTCGATGCAAGTCCTTCTCAAGATAGAAAGACACAATGCATTTGTGTGTGTTAACCCAAGGTGAAAGGAAAACAGATCTGCAGTTTGTTTATGTTGTCGTCATTGAAGCTTTTTGCTTTGTGAATCAGATGCTGAGGAGGAAAATAATTGCGGCTTCAGAGGAGAAATCGATGACATCACCGCCAATCACAATTTTCCCATTAATTAAATCCTTCCATTCTTTATTACCCTGGTAAAAACAAGACCTTTTTTCTACCCTTTGCTTCATCCGGAGGGTCTGGGCTCTCAGCTGTTGAGAAACAATCACTTCCTGGAGGCGTGGCCTCTGCGGTTACAAATTTTACCCAATCGCTGACGTTTGCCTGTGATGAATGTAACGCACCAGTTCATCACTAAGACTCTTAATGGAAACCACGGCGTTGTAAACAACCATCTTCCACTGTGAAGAGAGAAGAGTCGATCTGAACGAGGCGGCTGTCGATTTTAATATTTGGAAGTGTTGCCAACATGACCTGAACGGCTTCATTCACTTCCTCCGCTGTCGTTGATCAAACTACAGCCAGACTGATTCTAGAACAGCAGAAAATCAGTGTCAGCGTTGGCAGCTTCTCCTTCTGTTCACTGATTGGCCTGGGGGGGAAAAAATGGAGCAGAGACAATCTGAGTGACTGGGAGAAAGACCAGACTGTGCTGCAAGAGAGAACCTCTTTAGAGTGAAACTGCACAGGAAGGCAACAGCCAGGCTAATTGTTTACATGAAGAGCTTAGCAACCCAACAGCAACAGTGTTTAACCAGCATTTCTTTGTTCTTAATGTCAAACTGTCATAAAGTGGTGATGAGGCTCATTATGTTCTTATCACCACCCATCCATAGAGCATAATTGTTTTGAAAACCAAGGAAGACATTATAGTCAAAGCACAGATGTTTTTTTCACTGAACATTAAATCACCTGAACAAGCTTTGATACCATTCATGGAAAACTCTTTGCTGTCCAGAGGAGTGTCACGACTGGCGGCTTTAGTTCTGTTTTACAGCTTCTCATGTTTGTTGCCAGCTGCCCATTTGGTCGGCAACGATCAATCAGAGCTCAAAGAACCGTCTTGTTGTCTGTTGGGGATATTTTCTGTTGCTTTTTGAGGCAACTTTATGTGGTGATAAAAATAGGGCCAACAAACCAGCAGAGCCTTCAGAGCTCCTTGTTAATCACAGCAAACAGTTGGAGATCCTTTCAAAAGGGATTATATCAGGGTCAGGAGCATTTGGACCTTAATTACCCTTGACATAATGTTTGACCGTTCTGTTACCACTGGGGAGGGCAGCACTTATGAAGGAGACATGGGCCAGGGGGTCAGCTGGGGTCAACACCGGCCCAGCCCAGGAGGACGTCCTCCACGGTTTACTGAAGGAGTCCAGATCTCCTTCCTGTCCTCCAGCGGCTTGAGACGAAGTCCTGTCACCCTGTGAGCTTCGCAGGATGTCCAACAGAGGGGACAGGCGTCCAACAGGCGACCAACAGAGGGGACAGGCATCCAACAGGCGACCAACAGAGGGGACAGGCATCCAACAGAGGGGACAGGCGTCCAACAGAGGGGACAGGCGTCCAACAGGCGACCAACAGAGGGGACAGGCATCCAACAGGCGACCAACAGAGGGGACAGGCATCCAACAGAGGGGACAGGCGTGCAACAGAAAGGACAGGAGTCCAACAGGGGGGACAGGCGACCAACAGAGGGGACAGGCGTCCAACAGAGGGGACAGGCGTCCAACACAAAGGACAGGTGTCCAACAGAGGGGACAGGCGTCCAACACAAAGGACAGGTGTCCAACAGAGGGGACAGGCG